TTCTATAATTAGATGTAAAAATAGATTTTGAAATATCCTAGGAACATTTTACATCAAAATTATATACCGTTATAAAATTTGAAGGTGCACCTTACCTCTACAGCAACGGATGCATCTGTATGCCAACTGTACCCTAAATATAAATATTTTGAATGTAAACGAAAAAAAGTGATGCTTGAGGATCCTTGAAACTCTTCAATCCCGACATAAATAAATAAATATTTTTAAATAATTTTCAATAGATAATTTGTGTCTCTTTATTGTGACTGAGAATTTGGCTTCTTTACCATTGGAGTTTTTATATTTTCTTCATGGTACACTTTTGATGCACATAAAACCCACCTAGTTTTTTCTCTCCACTGTATATTTCACATGACCGAATGTTTTTGGATTTTTCTTATATTTACGATAGATTCCCCAATTTTTGGCCAAATTGTGACCCATGGAAACCCTACCTTTTTTTCTCTTTCTAATATGTTTCCTTTTGCAAGCTACTTATTCAATGTTATAATGTAATTACAGCTTTTTTTTGTGCCCCCTCTTTTTTATTTTTATTTCTCTCTCTCTCTCTTGGGCACATATTATATTAAACTGTAAGTCTTACTCCATTAATTTTGATCTTAAAAACCGTGTTGGAAATTGTGATTCACTACTTCTAAGCTCAAATGTCGTGACCATCAATATTGAAAAATAAAAGCCTAGTTCTCTCTTTTTTATTAAAGAATATTTTGCTTGTATTTCTTTTTGTATTAGTTTTAATTAATTATCGAGCTTCTATATATATCATTGTAATAATGCTATGACTGATCAAATTACAAATTCTACCAAACCACTTAAGAATTACTAAATGATTATTCTTAAAAAAAAAAATTTGAAATTTGAGTTTTCTAATATTTGGATCTCACCTTCTAAATATTAGATTGTTTTTATTCAACCTTATGACGATATTTTTTCAAGTTCTTAGAGGGTGCAACTAGGATTTTTTTTGTTATTTGATGTCGATATATGTGTTAAAGAGGCTATATCCCCAAAAATTGGTTCCTAAAACTAGTCTTAAATGGTGTTTTACCTGAGGCAGTAAATAGACAGTATATACTCCTGAGCGAGTAGATATCATTTGGCATAAGGGGAGATGGAAAAATATACAATGAGACCATTTATCTTTGGTACATGGTGGTCATAATTAATTTTGATCATTGGATGTGAAATTAGATGGTTGTATTTATTCTATTAACCAAGCTCAAACTTAAAAAAAATAAAAATCAAACTTTGTGACATACCCAAGCTATCAAATTTCACATCCGATGGTTGTAAGCAGTGTTTCAAAAAATGCTAGGTGGGTCCTAGGGGGCCTGGGGGGTCCAGGCCATCCCGTGCCTAAGCGGGCATTAAGGCAGGCGCCCAGAACCTGGATGGCCCAGTTGAATCCAAAAAGGATTCTAGAGTTATATATTATATAAATTATAAGAATATTGTATTTAGGGCACATTAGAATTCAAAGTATACTACATATTAGCACACACTCCATAAGCATAACCATAAGTCAGTCCATAATCCATATCCAATTAAAACTCAAATTTATCATTCATAGTTCAATCAAAGTTTTCAACCTTCACCATTCATCATCAGAAAAATAAGGGTCAACCGCATTGGCATCATATTCATCGAAGTCATCACCCCCCTTGACATATTGGTCGTACTCATTTGTCTCTTTTGAATCTACCTCTTTCTTCTTCCTCCACTCTTATTCTCTCTGCAGAAGATCTAGTGGCCCTAAGAGAGTCAGCTGATGTCCCGGAAGCATTCATGACCATGTCTCATGTCAATTCTTCATGCCCCGTGAGCTCATCATCGTCAACTAACTACTTCATAGCATTGCCTATATTTTTTGATCTGATGGGGTATCTCTTATCTCTCTTAGTAAACATGTCCTTCAAGAATTGATTATACTTGACACAGACTAGGTCATTGAGCCTCTTTGATTCAAACATGTTCTTTCTCTTTGTATGGTTATAAAAAAAATCAAATGAAACTAATTAAAATCTATAGTTTATGTATTATTATTATTAATACAATTATACAAATTACCCTTACAGGTTTACCACTTCAAAAGTACTCCAATTGCGCTCACAACTGGATGAGGAAGTGGTTAGATTTAAGATTCGAATGACTAACTTTTGTAAATTTGGAAAATTACATCCATATTGGCTCCACCAATTGGCTACAAAGATATAGAATAAAATCATAAATAAATAATCGCATTATAAAAATGAAAGTTGATTACTTGAACTTGATGAACTTAATAATATTCAATTTTAGTCCTTTGCCTCATCGCCATTGGACTCCCAAAAGACTTTAATGAGCATTTGTAATTTATCAGCTCATTAGTACATATAATATCCTGGATATCAGGATCAGGGACTAGCGCACACACTTATTAAATCCAATTATAATTGTGTCATTTGTGTGTATATTCTTATCAATATAAAAAAAGTTGGGTTCAAATAATAACTAGCTACATGTAATGGTCGATGTAACTGTCTATCCCACTTCTCATCAATAGTCTCACAAATAGGCTTGTAGCAGTTCTCATTATCATCAAAATTTTGGGCTATCTCTCTTTTGTATTTCTCCATAACCTTATATATATAGCCCATAGAAGGCTTGTCACTATCAACCATGCAAATGACTTTGACATGAGGAAAAAATACCTTAAGGGCGCCTTTCACCCTTCATAAAAAAGCTTTAAAAAGGATAATGTCTATCACCTTCTTCCCAACCTGATCCTTGAACCACTGGCATGCTCTTTAATCATCCGAGATAAACATATGCCTCAACTGCACTCTATTCGAATGTAAGCTATCTAGACATAAGTATCAGGATGTAAATCTGACCCCAGGCCTCATAAACTCTTTCTTCTTTATAAATCTACGCATCATGCTGAGGGTGAGATGGTGGCCATAAATGAAATTTGTAACTGACTTTGCCTTCTTCACTGCACCTGATATCTTGATTAAACTGCCGAGAGCTTCAAGTATGAAATCTATCCAATATGCTGCACATGGTGTCCAAAAGATTATAGAACAAGCTATGCGCAACAAATTAGCCACAGCTCCCCAACCTCATTGATTCCCTTCTCTAAAACTTGGAATATGTACTGGGCATCATGGATATGATCAGAGGCATCAATAGATCTCAAAAAAACAGTCCCTAAAGGATAGTTCACAAGCAAATTCATCTGACTTCTTCACTTCCTATCACTCCAAGCATCAATCATAATAGAAACCCCATACAAAACCATGCATCCTTCTTAACTTCTTTAGCTTCCTTTGTGACACTCACTGCCTTTTTCAAAAGGGGCTCTGAAAGCTCATATGGGGCGGGGGTTTCATCCCAGGCCCAAATTGGTCAATTGCCTCTACTGCGGCATAAAAGCTACTTAAGCTAGTGGCATTAAAAGGAATGCGTGCCTCCTAAAACCATGTAGTAGGATAGTAAACAATTTTATCTCTCTCTTCCTTTTTCATCCTATTTTCAATGGTGTTTTGCTTCTTTGTTTTCTCTTCTACAACCTTAGGATCAAGCTGAGGTAAAAAACTATCCATAAAGCCTCTAACATGAGCTTTCTTACTCCTAGAACCAGAACTAGAAGCAATTACAACTCCCTTTCCATTTCCCCTAATAATAGATTGTTCTACTTCTACATCTTGATATCCCTCCCCAATCTCATCCTCATCACTATCATCATCATAACCCCTTATCTAATCTCTAATATGGAGGCAAATTTCTCATCTCTTTCCATTTTTACCATATTAAAAAATTTGGTTATTTCCTCTTTAATAGCATCAGGAGTCTTTTTACATGGGGCAAAATCCCCCCTGATACCAGCAAGATGTTTCTTGAACCGGTTTATGTCCCATTTTATATCATTCTCATAAAAATTGTATCTTTGTAGCCATATTTCCAACTGGGTTCACTACTCCTATTAGATCCCGAAGAAGACATCTCAAAATAATGTAATTTATACAAGCAATAAAAAAAAAATCACTTACTTTGAGTTTGATTGCTCCATCTCCAAACTTCCACCTCAAAGATGCTTCTAAGGACTCAAAATCTTCTAAAAAACCCCCTAATAAATTTATAAAATATCAAAAAATAAATCTAATATTAATGGGGAATGGTTCGATCAATTTATCATAACTTTGAGAAACCCTTCGATCCTAAAGAAATCACCAAAAAACTAATGTTTTTTGAGCTTTTTCTCTAAAATAGACTCTAATAAGTTTTAGGTTTCAAATGAACCTAAAACCCTCATTTTTGGCTCTTTAGTATAAAAACATAGACAAAAAATGCCCCACCAAATCAATTTCCACCTCTGGGCGAGGTGGGTCTGGGAGCTGGGCAGCCACCGAGGCGGTTTCCTGGGCGCCTAGGCGAGCGCTCAGGGACCACCGTTTTTTTTTGCATGCCTAGGCATGGGCGATGCACCGAGGCCCCGGATCCGCCTCGACGACCGCCGAGGTGCTGGGCAGTCCACTTTTTGGAACACTAGTTGTAAGTAAATGTGAACTCTTTGTGTTAAAAGTAAAAGCGACGGTTTGTATAGAGCCAAGGCTCTAAACAGTCAAATTCAAGCCCACCTTCAAATAGTGTCAAGAAATGTGGTTTCAATATTGGAAATATTTGTAATAGCTTTAAAATATATTTTTATCTTTAATCATAAAATTAAAGTTTCAAAAATAGTGTAGATCAAGCAGATCAATGAAAAATTGAAAAGTTTGAAAATTGACGGTCCAAAAATACATTACAAGATGCACTATTTCCAAAACTTGAAATCTATTTTTTTTCTCATATCTATGCATCTTGATGATCAATTTGAGGGTATTTAGGCATCAAAACAACCTAGTAAAATTTTTTTAAGTAGGCTCTAATTTGATTGTTTAGAGCCTAGGCTTATACAAACTTTTTTTCAAAAGTAAATACAACGATACAATCCTCACCAAACAAACCAAAAAAATTGAATCAGCTACTGTTCTAAGGTTGAGACTGGCAACTCTTCATTTCCATCCTCACCTTCATCCCAATGTTATATTAGACGAGATTAATTTTTTTTGAAAGAGATTAATTTTCTCTGTAACCAAATAACATTAAGTCCTTTCATTGTAAATGAGATCACTCTTCCATCGCCATTACACCACCTCAATCAACACCAGCGACCCGAATTCTTTAGTTCTCGAAATCATCGACCTCTGCAAATCAGGCTTTCTTTCTCAATCTCTGAAGCTTCTGCGCTCGTTAAACCCTCTTAAAATTGCCAAGAAACCCATAATCTACGCCTCTCTTTTACAAGCATGCGCAAAAAACCTCTCTCTACGACAAGGAAATGCACTCCATTCTCACATTATCAAACTGGGTATCGACTCCGATCGCTACATATCAAATAGTCTCTTAGCATTGCACTTCAAGTGCTCTGAAATATCTGAAACGAGACGGGTTTTCGACTTTCTCGCTTTAAAAGATGTGGTCACTTGGACCTCGATGATATCGAGCTATGTTCGAGCTAACGAACCCAAAAGAGCTTTTGAATTGTACTCTGAAATGGAAGAACAAGGTGTCGAGCCCAACGAGTACACGCTGTCTTCTTTGATCAAGGCCTGTGGAGAGATGGGTAATCTAGAGCGAGGTAAACTCTTTCATGAGATGGTTAGCGAGAAAGGTTTTGAGTCTAATTGTGTTATCACTAGTGCTCTTATCGATATGTATGGTAAATGCAGCAGCTTCGAAGAGGCTCGCAAAGTGTTTGATGAAAGGGAGCAAAGAGATACAATTTGCTGGACCTCTCTCATGGCTTCATACACTCAAAACAATCAATTCAAAGAAGCACTAGAGCTCTTTATGCTAATGCAAAGGAGTCCAAATGTTAAACCAGATGGGTTTACTTTTGGCACTGCAATTGCAGCTTGCGGTAATCTAGGATTGATCAAGCAAGGCAAGCAAATTCACAGTAAGTTCATTATAATAGGATATGAAATGAATGTTGTGATTCTTAGCAGTATTATTGATATGTATGGTAAATGTGGTTTCATGGATTTCGCGCACAAAGTATTTGATGACATGAATTTTAGAAACTCAGTCACTTGGTGTGCTTTGCTCAATGGGTACTGCCAAAATGGTTACGGAGAAGAGGCTCTAGCTCTCTTTCGGAGGATGCAAAATGAAGGAATGGGTGGTGATAGTTATGGACTTGGTACAGTACTTAGAGCCTGTTCAAGCCTATCGGCTTTGAGGCAAGGCAAAGAGGTCCACGCTCGATTCCTAAGAATTGAAGGGTGTGATAATGTAGTTGTAGAGTCAGCTCTAATCGATATGTATTCAGAATGTGGGTGCATTCGAGAAGCGAAATTAATATTCGATGAAACTAAACATAAGAATATTGTAGTATGGAATGCAATGATATGTGGGTTCGCTCAGAATGGTAAGGGAAAAGAGGCTTTGGGTTTGTTTGATGAGATGATAAATTCTGGAATTTCCCCTGATTATGTCACCTTTATCGGGGCTCTATTTGGTTGTGGCCACTCAGGCTTGCTTGAGGGTGGTCGGCACCTCTTTCACTCTATGACAGAGAAACATGGAATCGATCATGGGTTAGAGCATTGTGCTTGCATGGTCGACCTCTTAGGCAGGGCTGGTCTCTTAGAAGAAGCTGAGGATCTGATAGAGAGATCAAATTTTAAGGATGATGCTTCTCTTTGGGCAGTTTTGCTAGGTGCTTGTACCTCATATTCGAACTTAAGAATATCAGAGCGAGTAGCAAAGAGAATGATAGAATTGGATCCGAAATACCATTTGACGTATGTTCTTTTGTCAAATGTGTATGCGGCTTTTGGGAGGTGGGGTGAGGTTTCAGTTGTGAGGAATTGGATGAAAGAGAGAGGGATCAAGAAGATGCCAGGGAGAAGTTGGATTGAAGTTAAGAACAAAGTGCATTCTTTCCTTGCTTATGATGATTCCCATCCTCTAAAAGATACGATTTACACAGAGATAAGGAGATTGGATGTAGAGATGAGAGAGGTGGGATATGTGCCAAACATGACCCATGTGATCCATAGTGAAGAATGGTGTTGGAAGAAAGGATAGCACTTTCTCGATCTAATAATCATTCATTGCTTTATTGACTTCCAGTTGGAATAGGAATACCAACTTACTAACTAATTCTTGATGATTTACAAATTAGAGAGCAAATTGTTGCCGGAGGATCATAAAGCATTAGGCACATAGCAAGTGGCTGAATAAGGGGAGAGAGAGAGAGAGAGAAGAGGGAGGTGTATGTGGGGGGGTTGAGGGGCATGGAGAGGGAGGGAGGGAAAGGAGGGAAGAAGGGGAGGAAGGGAGGGAAAGAGAGCAATTTACACAAAGATAATGGGATTCAATGTGGATTCAATGTGGAGATGAGAGACGTGGTATAGGTGCCCAGCATCAATCATGTACTTCAGGGCAAGGAGTAGCACTGAAAGAAAGAATATTACTGCCACTGTTGTAAGCTGGCCGTGCTTAATTTGATATCTGAGTGTTAAGAGTAATTCATGTTATGAATGCAAGAATATTACTGCCACTTTTATAAGCTGGCCTTGCCTAATTTGATATCTGAGTGTTGAGAGTAATTCATGTTATGAATGCTGTGCTATTCTATTCTTGATCATTCACAATTCATAAAAGCTGTCATTAAGCATGTCAACTTGCCTGAAGACTGATGCAGGGAGCACAGGAAAGAGACTCGGCCAAGTTGAAGGTTCTTATACCATATGAGATTTGTTAAAGATGCTAGTGGCAAAACTAAGGACGAGCTTAGATTGATCGCATGTCTGTTATAATTATCAGAATCTATTACAAAACAATCAATTATTTGAGTGCAATTCTGCAGAAAGATGACGGTTATGAGTTCACAAAAATTTATTGGTTCTTTTGAGATTTCTAAAGACGTTTTCAGAACATTTTGCACGATAGGAATGAGATGGAATTTTTAAGCAGGCTCAGACTTTTGGTTTGTCTGGTATTTCCTTTAGTGTTGTGGAGTGACTTGGTCAATTTGTATGCATGCCTGAATGGATATTTTAGTTGCGATTTATTGCTTTAGTTAAATTTTGGTAGGTAAAATATCAGATAGTTGTAGTGAATGCATAAGAAGTGTTGAAAATTTAGATGATTAAAAGTGGTAAGTGCTGCAAGGGAATCCAAGCTCATTCTATCTAGTGAAATCATATGGATGTTGCTGGTTCTTTGTAGGGTTCAAGCAGTTTCTGGATTGCTTTGATGAAAATATGAACCTGACAATTGAGCAGCGAAGGAACAGAGCTCCAACAATTGCCAATTTTGCATTTTATGCAACAAGGATGAGGAAACCAATGACCAGTTTCTACCCTGCACATTCTCGAGGCTACTCTGGTCTTCGCTTCTTTCAAAATTTGAAATGCTGCGGGTTTGGCAAGGCATGTTATTGTCCGAGCTGATGTCATGCTACAGAAAGGGGCTAATTCTGGTGCTGTGGTGACTGTAGCATAGTGGGACAAATGCAATATTGTGTAGCATGAGGAATGGTGCCATGAGCATGAGCAATACTCATAAATCAAGTAGATAACAGCCACCACAGCATGCTAGGTGATGCTTAACTTTAATTCTGGCTCTCAAGTTAATCCCTTGCCTGTGGGGATTGGGGGTGCATTCTTAGAAATGAGGATGGGCAAGTCCTTATGACTTTCTCAGTTGTGTGTACCACCAATTTAAGTTGAATTCATGCATGACGTCAAATATGTTTAGCCACAGTTACATAAAAATGGAAGGCAACTCGACTAATGTAATAAGCTGCTCTTCAGGCTCGGAGCATCGACTCTCACTGCTTGATGAAGTGGAAAATGGCATTTGGTAAAAGGAGGTCATTTTTAACAGGAATCAATAAGTTACAGGTCATTGAAGCTTGGGGTTCGGAGGTACACGTTAATTGTATCTGTTATGAGTATATGGTGTTATTGTGCAATTTGTACATCGTCTTGTTGTACATCTTGTTTGGAAGCATTAATGAAATTTTGAGCTAACATAAAAGAGCCTTCTGAATGAAAAAGACATTTCTTGGAAGGATCTGGCGGGGTGCGGTTTGTATAGAGCCGAGGCTATAAACAATCAAATTAGAGCCCATCTTCAAATAATGTCAAGAAATATGGTTTCAATATTTAAAATCTTTGACTCGCTTTACAATATATTTTCATCTTTAATTATAAAATTTAAAGTTTCAAAAATAGAGTAGATCGAGCAAATCTATGAAAACTTGAATAACTTATGAAAACTTTAATAACTTAAAAACTAACGGTCCAAAAATGCATTACCAGATGCACTATTTCCAAAACATGAAATTCATTTTTTTTTCTCATGGGATATTTGGGAATCAAAACAACCTCTTCTAGTGAAATTTTTGAAGTAGGCTCTAATTTGATTTTTTAGATCCTTGGCTCTATGTAAATTTTTCCCCTCTGTAAATAGCCTGACCAGAAGGACATGTAAATACATATTTGAACACATACTCTATACAGGGAAAGCTTTCTATGTTCCCCCTGCAACATAGAAGTTCTATCTTCCGGCTACCATCCAGCCGTCCATTTTTTATCAAGAGAGCCACTCACCATTTGATCTTAGATCCGACGTCTTAAAGTATTTTATTTTTAGTTTTTTTAATAAAAAATTTTTGAATATGAAATTTGGTATGTGCTATCTTCTCATTGGGGTGCACCTATAAAAAATATTAACAATAATTTTTCGATAAAACATAATGACTAAAATACCCCTTGAAATTTTCAAGGGGTATTTTGGTTATTTTATTTTATTGAAAATATTTTTTTTATATTTTTCGTTAGTGCGAGTTTAATAGAGGAATGGATGTCCAAAATTTGGTGTCAAAAGAGTTTATAGAAAAAAAACTTAAAAATAAAACAGAGTAGAAACGTGATATTGCGATTGGGGCAATCGTAGCCCTCCATTAAAATATGGACGGTTGGATAAGGGGGAGGATAGAACTTCTATGTTGTAAGGGGAACATAGAAAGCTTTCCCCTCTATATATTCCCAAAAGTCTTTTAAAGAGTCTATTTTATTTTAGAATTTGCTCGTATTCATTCACTTATTTTCTACATTGTCTTGGTTATTATGTTTTTAATTGTTTGAGGAAAGAAATTCTCTAAAAGGTTAAGATGGTCACCACCAAAATTTGGAAGTTTGAAGATTAATTTTGATGGTTCTTCCCTTGGAAACCTGGTAGACTATGGAGACCACATCGGTAATATTGTTTTATGTTATGTTGGACCGTGTGGTGTGGCTACTGCAAATCATGCAGAGTTAGCGGCGCTTTTACAAGGTATCCTGGTTTGGAAAGAGAAGGGGTTGGGAAATGCAGCGATTTTGGAAGGAGATTATTTGAATATCGTAAATTGGTGCACTTGCGCCTCTAAACCCCTAGCGTCTAAGATAAATGTGGCTGCAAGTGATGAACGTTGTTTCCTCGTTGGTTGTTTCTTTCTAACATATTTTCAAGGAGGCTAATGAGGTTGTTATTGATATGGCTAAGAAAGGAGGAAGTCTTGATCTTGTTGTTATTTCCGATGTTTTAATTTGAGCAATAAATTTCTCTCTTTTTTATATCATTAAAAGCTAAGTACTCTTGTCAAAAAAAAAAAATCTCTAAAAGGAGAAAGCATATTTTCTGAAAAGAGGGATTGCTTCAACCAGTAGTATTTAAGCTTTTTATTAATATTCTATTTTTATTTTTTATTATTGGACATTTGAGTCAAGTTTTTAAGCATTCTGGCTATGCTTTAATTGTATAACTAGTATTTTATTGGGCCTGTTGCATCATGTAGGCGGTAGAGCCGGTTACAAATCCATAGGGGACAAAAATTACCTTTAAAAGGGCAAATTTTGTGCCTGAAGTCCAATTAAACACTAAGATTACTATGTTATTTTTTATACTTAATGTTTTTGTAAATTATTATTGTTGGTTGATTTCGTATTTTTCAAAGTACCAGTTGTATTCAACAATTTAAAGCTAATAGTTCATCAAACTGTTTATGTTAAGATCTCAAAAACTGTTATATGTATTATCAATTACTTATACCACCATTGTTGATGAGTCCAGTGGAGAAGAGGTGAATAATAATGAGAAAGTAAAGTGGGAACACGACGATTTACATGTGCTGAGGAATTATTCTCCATACTTTCGGTGACCGGTTGTATGATATGTTATCCCTCAAGCCTACCTATGGAACTCACTTGGAAGAAAAATTTGCAACTTAGGATAACAAAGAAACTTCTTATTCATTATTTTATGGGATTGTATACTATGAAATTTATTATTATTGATACGAGGTAACAATCACTCCTAGCCTTTAGCTGTTTCAAGACTTTTTCGTATTTTATTGTTTCAAGACTATTGATGACTAACAGCATGAGCTACTTGTCTTTGGAACTAAAATGTGGCAAGCAACACTT